TCGATGCACTCGTCTCCTCCAAAGACACCGTCATGCCAGACTCAACTTGACACGTTTGCACTGGCGATGGCTAAATGGCCAGTGGAACAGAGTGATGTTTTCTGACAAGTCCAGATTTCTTTTGGATCGCCACGATGGAAGACAGAAAGTCTACCGGAGACGTCATGAACGTTATTTATCTCAGTGTGTCAGTGCTGCTGATGACAAATGTAGTATTATGGTATGGGAATCCATAACCAGTACCGATAAATTCGATCTAGTCATTATCAACGGTAATCTGACTGCCCAGAGATACATCAATGACGTTCTCTATCCACACCTTCTGCAGTTTCTGGCTCGCCACAGGAACAATGTCGTGTTTCAGCAGGACAATGCAGCGACACATTGTGCCTTTGTTACCCAGAGATTCTTACAACAAAAATTACGTACGCGTTGTAACACCGTTGCCAGTATTATCCCCAAATTTAAACGTGATTGAGCACCTCTGCGACACAATGGACAAGGAAATTCGCACCCTTCGGCCACCCCCAACGACAATCCCACAACTGCAGCAATCATTAATTAATGCTTGGAATAATATTCCCCAGCAATTTATCCGACGACTTGTGCAATCCATGAAGCAGTGATTCACTTTAGTCATCAATGGTGGTGGGAGTTACACCCGCTACTAATTCTGGGATTTTGGACATTTGAATAGGTGTTATTAATTTCTAATAAAAGGTGTGCTTTAGGTCGTTTTCTTAGTTTTTTTGTCAGCATTTATTGAAAAAATGGCAAACCTTTCAAAATTCATTGGCAATACGGCATTACTAAGGTAAAGAACGGAAATAATGCACAGAACGGAGGGTGCCCACTTTCTTTTGCTCGTCAGTATATATGGTTTTATAGTTGTTGGCCTTCTGTTTTATCATATTTAGATTGGAAGCTTTCATTGTGAGTTTGTGTCATCTTTAGATTTTACAGAAATGATGCAAGCTTCCAGTCCGTGCCGTATCGTGGGTCTCAGCAGTCAAGGGCAGACAACAGAAGTCATGGAGAGGGATTGTAGTGGGGAGATAATCCTGGACAGGACTTGTTTCTATGCAGAGGCTGGTGGGCAGGCTTCTGACAGTGGATTCTTGGAGTCTGAGGTGATTAGGGGGTAGTGTGCATGTGTGTGTGTGTGTGTGTGTGTGTGTGTGTGTGTGTGTGTGTGTATGTGTGTGTGTGTGTTGGGGGGGAAGGGGGGGAGGGGGGACATCGGACAATAAAGTTTGGATTTTTGGAGTTCGAGGTGTGAGCAGTAGTGTGTATGGATGTGTATGCACAGACACTCAAGCTTTCACACATGTGCATGTTCAGTCAAACATGGGTAACTCAAACATGTTAGGGATGGACAAATCGCGACCTCAGTGCTTTCTTGTCCTATCTCCATTTTTTAAAATACTGAAAATGTGAATTCTTCCTTTCATTCATTCTTTCTTAGGAACTGTTTTTTTTTTTTCCTTCTTCTTCTTCTATCCCGTGGTTGGGGCAACCGTTGGGGCACCACTGCATTGGAATACCAGCTCTGGCCATCGATTTTTGTCCTCTGCTCTCCGCAGATTGTCACCCATCGTCTTTCCTGTCCACTCTGTAATATTGTCCTCCCATCTCCTTCTCTGCCTTCCTCTTTCTCTTTCCTTGTACGGTTCCTTGCAGGATTGTTCTGGCACGTCCTGTGGATCTTGTGACATGCCCATACCATTTTAGTTTTCGTCTCTTCACTGTGGTCAGTAGATCTTCATATTGTCCCACTGTGTTGGTGATTCTCTTTCGTACTTCAGCATTTGAAACGTGGTCTTTGTACGAGATGTCAAGGAGTTTGCGGTAACATCTCATCTCTGTGGTCTGAATCTTTTTCTCTAATTCTGCTGTTAGTTGTCCACGACTCGCAGGCGTATAAAAATATTGAGATGACCAGTGAGCGCATTAATCTAATTTTTGAGCTGTGCGTGATGTTTCTGTTCCTCCAAATAGGCTTCAGTTTTGACAGCGCAGCTGTTGTTTGCGCGATTCTGGAGAGAATTTATGGCCTTGAGCCTTCATCTGAGACGATAGATCCGAGGTATTTGAAGCTGTTGACGGTCTCAAGTATCTCGCCCCTGACTTTGATGTCTGCGTTGTCATTAGCTTGGTTTTCTCGGCACTGATCTCCATGCCGTAGGCTGCTGAGGTTGTGTCCAGCCGCTCCACTAGTGTGGCGAGCTCCTGTTCTTCTCCTGCTAATCCATCGATGTCATTGGCAAAACGCAAGTTAGTAATTGTCCTGCCTCCAATACTGATTGTTCCATTGTGGTCTTCCAGAGTGTCAGTCATGATTCGTTCTAGGAAGATGTTGAAGAGAGTGGGAGAGAGCAAACAGCCTTGCCTCACCCCGACCGTTGTCCTAAACCAATCCCCCATGCTGCCGTTAAGGTAGACTGCGCTGGAGGCCTTGTCGTTTAGTTGTTGTATGACGTTGGTCAGGTTGGCGCTGATGTTATATTTCCTCATGGTTGCCCATAAGGCTGCATGCCAGACCCTGTCGAAGGCCTTTTTTAAGTCCACATAGATATGGTATAGGTTTTGTTAGTGTTGGAGGTACCTCTCGCACAGTATTCTGAGGTTGAAGATCTGTTCTGTTGTGCTGCGCCCTACTCTAAAGCCTGCCTGCTCTTCGGCAATGATCTTCTCTGCCTGTGGTTTCAATCTGTTCAGCATTATCTTCAACATAACCTTACTGGGGTGGCTTATTAGACTGATGGTGTGGTAATTCTGACATAGTTGCAGGTTACCTTTCTTGGGGTTGTCATTTCATGTGGTGATTCTTGGGCAGAGAAGCTTGGCGGTGCCCATCCCTCTCCAAGCTCTTAACCGTAGGCCGATGTCCACGAACATGATGTGGGTCGCCCCCGATTGCATACACTTGACCGTTGAGCTCAGCTTGGAACCCTTCCGCTCTGACCGTTGGGTCCGTCATGGGACCCTTCCGCTCATGGCCGTTTGATGCTGCTCATCCGCCCAGTGGTGTAGTGTAAACACCACCCCCTCACATGGTTTAGTCTGCCAGCTGAAGCGGTGTACCGGGATATGGCGCTGTGGAGCCACATGTGAGAGATTTAGAGGATGTGCAAGGACCAGTGATGCCCGTCCGCCCTACCAGGTAGGGTGCAGCATTCCAAACATCAAAGGTACTACCTCACACAGAGCCCCCTATACCCCTATACTGTTTTCACTATCATTAATAATGGAGGTAGGACAAGAAAGCATTGAAGTTGCGAAATGTTTTCAACAGATTCATGATTTGGATAAACCATAGCTAAAAATTTAAGAGATATCGGTAGGGAAATGGAAAATTGTTCAAGCTATCTGGGATTTCATGTTGTTTTTTTTGTCCCTGTTATATTAAAAAGGTTTTATTCTGATCTTTCCCTCCTCATTGCAGACAGGCCAGTTCTCTGTGACAGAAGTACAGAATAGACAAGGGCTTGTTGTTCACTACGGTCACGTCTCACAGGGATATCTACAGAACGGTCAGTCAGTCACTCCAAGCATTGCGCCGGTGGGTACATCTGAGCTCTGAGGCTCAGTGTGTAGCTTTTTTACCAGTTTATAATACTCTATAGTGAGGCAGGGTGGTGAAATCAGGCGCTTATCAAAATGATGACAGTAAAGAAACTGGCATTTTTCCGCTGGACTTGCCATCTAGTTCTATATCGAAATTTTGCTTTTTAGCTCAACAGTTAGTCCATTTAAGAACCCATTTCTGTGTGGATTTTACTGAAATATAATATGTTGATTAAAGGCACAAAAAATGTACATTTTCAGTTTTTTCGGACTCTCAAGGTAAGGAAATAACCAAAAATTGACGAGCCAGCCTGATTCCACTATGTCGTGACACATTGGGTTGTT